CCTTCCCTTGAGCCAGACGTGTGCTGAGTCCTATGAAAGCAATCTTGCACGTTCCTCTTTCTGACCACCACCAGTCCCTACGAAGGTGAGGGGACCTGCCTTCTCCACCAGCTGCTGGGCAGCTCACAGCTCACACCTACATTCCAGTCACCTCGCTCACTCGGTGGAAAACTTACCTAGAAGTTCTCAGGTCCCCCACTGCTGGATGTGAGTCCAAATGACTGTGTCTTTGTCATGGAACAAACTGGCCGTGATGGAAGGAGAGGGGACACCACAGATTTCCTTCCCTCTTTTTCTCCATAGACACAGAAGGAAAGACCAGAAGAGAGATACCCTTATCCTCTCAGCCCCATCCCCATGCCTCCCCCTCGCTGGAGAGGACCTGACTAAGCAGCCCTAACAGGCCATAACACTTAACCAATTCAGCTGCTGGCAGAGGGGAAAAGACAACATTAAGAGAAGCTAAGCTCTCTCTGAACTTAGGTTATTTGCAGAATTGAAGGCAATAAAATTCCAGCATTGAAGGTAAATAGTGCCTTTTGTAAATACAATATAATTGCCCTAGCATGCAAAGATTTCCACATCAGTGCCCCCTTTATGCACCTGGAAGTTTGTTGTAATCAGATATAACCTTTAGTCCCCTGAGGGACTTGGATCTGATAAGTGACTATGTCCACTGGCCACTCTCCAGAAAGCCCATTCTTTAATTTCATCTCCCCAGGCTTTGGTTGCCCACATAATAACCTGAGGGACTTGGATCTGATAAGTGACTATGTCCACTGGCCACTCTCCAGAAAGCCCATTCATTAATTTCATCTCCCCAGGCTTTGGTTGCCCACATAATATACCATTTTATGTCTATTACTTTACACACTCAGTTACCTCTCTCAGGAATTCACTTTTCCTCTTCTCAGCCTATAAAACTGTTCTCCATACTTCAAGGCTCAACTTTAAGAACAAAAAGTCATTTCAACTTAACTCTCAACTTATCCAGAGAGAATGAGGCATTTCTTTCCCTGAGTTCCCAGAAGGCTTTTTCTGTAGTAACTAACAGTTTTTTCTTCCCAAGCTAAATTCTGAGCTCCTTAGGTTAGGTGCCATGCCTTAAATAATTTGTCATCTCCTGTGCCTAGAATTTAATAGATATTAAATAAATGCTAGCTGACTTTAATAATAAAGTTTGTAGATGAATTTGGAACACGGGTTAGCACTATAACCTAAAACATAGAACACCGTCTTAGTTGGTGGTAATAGAAATTTGCAGTGAACAAAGAAAGGAAAGCGGTCATCTCACGCACTCTGTCTCAGTTAGTGTCTGAACTAGTACCACAACCTGTTTCAAGACCCACATAATCACAGGGACCAGAAGAAGCAATTTGAATGTGTCTAGAACTTGTTGAGTGGCAACATCTCACTTGTAAATCTGAGTGTTTTGTGGGGGGCGTGTAGATGTCTTCACTTATTTGCTAGCCTGCCTGTGTAACTCAAAAAGGCAGAACTTGGACAGTGGGTGAGTGTGAGAGGGAGACACACTGAGGCTTACCAGAAGGGTTTCATCTTAAAATGGTGTAGCAAAGGAAAAGTCTGGCTTCCCCAGCTGCAAGGGTTTCACCCCTGCATGTGGTACAAGCTGAGACTCTCACGGGGACACCTGCACTCAGGTGGAAGGGGGAGGGCCTGCGTGACCAGCAAACTCCCTTGCGATCCCACGAGGCTGTGAGTTAGTTACATCATGACTTGAATCTGGGGAGACTTTCAGTCCAGCAACTATGACTTAGAACTGGAATCCCAAGATTCCTTCCAGCAAGTTGGAAAACGGCTTCATAACTATTTTCCAGTCGATGTCTATCCAGGAGCTTCATTTGACATCACACACATTGAGGGCCCCTGTCACAACAAGACAAATGTATGGAACAAAACATCTCTAGTTAATGTCTACACAGGATTCTAGTAGCAAGTCAGAGGATGAGCCATTTGGGTAAAGTCGCTCGAGAAGTCTAAAGTCAGTCTAGAAAGAAAACCTTGGGGGCCTATATCCTGGTTTCTGTCTCCAGAAATAGGATCTGGGATAAGGAAGAATGACTCTAATAATAGCAATAGGAGTTCGTGACCTCAAATTCCCTTTTCCCGTGTCCTTCACATTGTTGAAATTGGGAAAAGGGCTTATACAATTTCCCAATTGAAAATTCCACCAGCAAATTGTCTAGATTAGCTCTGCTCAAGTATTAACATTGCATAGGAATCACCAAGGATCCTATAAGACGCAGGCTCTGATTCAGTAGGCAGGGCCTGAGATTCTGCATTTCTAACAGGCTCCCAAGAAATGTTGACGTTGTCCCAAGGATCCCATTTGAGCAACAAAGGATCACAGGTGAGTTTGTGGAGAATGTCATACTGTGTGACGCTGGTTGTGATGGGGTGACAATTGTGGAGGCCCAAGACAAGTCACACCATCCGCAAAACTGACCAATCTGGAATCCCACTCCTAAGGAAACACTATCAAAAGCAGGCAATAGCCTGCTACTGGCTGTTGATTATTTTTCATTTTTAAGAGGGGAATGTACACAGATGA